AAAAACTGAGGTAAAATTTTGATGATAATGGGAAAATTGAAGAAGATGATACAGAGGCCAATGACGATAATGTAAATAATGCGAAGGACGACAATGACAATGATGCAAGGCGGCCCCGCGGTTAGAATCACCACGTTCTTTCAGGATCTGGTACTCTTCACATGCTAGAATAAAAACATCATGAACTGTACCACCCCTGCTTACTTAGCAAGTTATCTACGGAGCGATACTAGTCTAGAATAAAAACATATTTTACGAATTCCTGAAACATCGTTCTTGATGAGCACAAAAGTATCTCTAGCGGATAAAACGATGCGGACAAAACCATACTCAGATACCATGGAGTCGATGGCCTACTTCAATCATTGCATAGACAACTACTGCCAATGGCGGTGGTGCAAAACTTTGTGAAATTTGGTCTTGAAGGAGCTTTGCATTATGCAAAAGGAAAATAACAAAGATAGCCATAACATAGGCTTAGAAAAATCGTACGGCACCGGAAAGAAATGAAATGGGGATGCACTCTTCGTCAGCACAACAAAAAATTTAGACACAAAGAGGAAAATACTCATGGTAAACCGCAGCTGACTGGTTCATCCATGGTTGGGGAAATCAAACAAATCACGATAAAATATGCTGTAATCTAATGATAATAGCAAATATAATGATCAAACTTTATTACCAAAGCGTTTCCTTACCTCGCCGGTGGATTAAAGCGATTAGTTCTTGTGGTGTTAGAAAGGAAAGTTACTAACCGTTGGAATGTAGGTTCTACCAACATTTACATTATGGACCTATTTCAGGCAATCATTTGTTCATGAAGTCGATGTTAGGGCCGTGATCTCAATTTTCATGCTATCATCCGCGAATACACTATTTTAAAGGCGTGAGTCGTCAAGAGCTGCATGGCAAGCATAATATTTAGTCGCTTGTTTCCTTCTTACTCATTTAACAACCTCGAAAGACAGAAAAGCGACTGACCCAATCAGAGTTCGAACCTAAACCGTCATGGCTCTGGTTAAATGCTCCACCAGCTGAGTAACTTCGATTTTGAGTGCCAAAAAACAGACTACGGCCACACCCATAACGAAGCTGCTGGTTTTAAACGCGTCGCTTTAAAAGAAATATTTTATGATCAATCTGGCGCACGCTTACCACGATTACAAAGTTAAGCACACCTACAAGCATCCCTGATATAATTAATCGTATTCTGCTCGTTTAAGTATGCTGTTATATTAACAGGTTTCGCCCCCCCCCCCCATTTCGTTAGAGAACATGAATGGCTATTACGGTGCAATAGAAAAAAATCGAAGATAATCATAATATTCTCGCTTAAAAGGGAGGCGCCCCTGTGATCACTGAGGCCAGTGGTCAAAATATCAAAGGAGAGCCGCAAATCGCATTTTCTTTATAAAATATGAACAGACCACCAATGGGAAGTCGAACTGTCAAAATATTTATGCACACTAAGCACCTGCCATCGTTTGCAAATTGGCTTGACCTGAAGAGGCTGCTTCATTGACAAACTATCAGGACCACGAGAGAAACGTTCA